TCAGGCGAACCTGATAAAACGCCCCCCTGGTCACGGCCGACAAATGATCTTCCAGTGTCAGCCGTGGATCCAGGAGGACACCCAAGTTGCGCGCCCTCTCTGAGGGGGCCAAAATTTCGCCCCCTATAGACAGCGATGGGGTCAGCTGACTATGCCGAGGCGCCGGCAACCACAGCCACTCGGTCTTGGAAGGGTTGAGCCTGAGTCTATTCCTCCCCATCCATTTTATAAAGTTAAACTTCAGAAGTTATTTTCACATCTAGTGTAGAATGAATAAATTATTCACAGGTATAGAATGATTTAAAAACTTGTCTATGATTTAATTCCGAAGTCCATGTATTTGCTCTAGCACAAAATTTCCAAGAAACCAACATAACAGCTTACATTACCTCATCCTGATGCCAACAAGTATCATGAAAATGCAGTTGAATCTCTGTTGATCCTAATCAGGAGTATGTAACATGTGAGAAAATATAAAACAAGGTGTCAAGAAGAGTGTGGCAGAGGCTGGAGATTTCTCTTTCCTTCTTGTTAAAAATGAGCCATTGCCTGTTATCCTATGAAGTAAACAGATCAGTCTCTGAATTGCTGCACTGAGATTTAATAAGGACCATAATTGATGGATGCAGTTTTCATTGGGTAGCTATTGTCATGCAATTCAGCTTTTCAGGATGGATTATTATTTGCAGATATGGGTTGTCAAGACAGGGATGAAGTGGGCCATGTAAGACTAAAAGCTGCCAAATTAAAAAATCTGAACTCCCCCCAATTCATCCTTTGGAGAAAAGCACAGAATATTGCTAGGCCCCACTTAGTTACAGTAGTGGCCAAAATTGTGGAAACCTTTTGGGAAAAGTGTACAGTAGAAATGCCACCTTTGGTTAAGTTTCCATCAATTTTTCTTCTAATTTCTTTTTTTTAACTGTAGCCTTCTTCTCTTAATAATATTATTTTACATCTCTTTCTGTGCAACCAATCAACTCTTTGCACCGTTACTGTAATTTTATTATGTTTTACAAGCTCACTAAATGAAAGAACACAAAAAACCCCAACCAGTTTGATAGTGATCACATAACACACTGACAGATGTCCTCCTCTCAGCTTCAATATGTGACATCAATAACTGAATCCTACTGTGATCTGATTGGCTTATTGCCAAAACAAGATGACACCTGACTGGCTCTCTAAACACTCATGCTCATTGGCTACAATCAGATGAAGGAAAGCTACCTGATATCAACCTAAGCAAGTTGTGCTTCCCTTTTCTGGTTATTTAGCTATAACTTTTCATAAAATACAGTACAGATAATTGAACAAACTATGTTGCATTACATTCTTGATTAAATTATCTTTCCATTGATATATAATTTTATGGTACTAATCTAAAAAAAAGCGGTGTTATTAGCCATCAAACCTCAAAAATACACTTCTCCCAAAAGGTATCCACAATTTTGGCCACTACTGTACATGAACCAAAGCAGAGCTTTTATTAAGAGGCTGGAAAGAATTAAAAAAAAACCAGGCTCTCTGTGTTGCTTCCTTTCTGTGCTTTAAATCATAACACAAGTCCAATTGCTAATTCATGTTCAGGTTTCATTGACATGTACTCACGATTAAAAGGTTGATGTCTGAACTGTAAAAAGAACATTTAAAGGACATAAGCCAGTGTAAATGTTGTCAGACTGTTTAAATGTAGGTACGTTGAAACGTGTAATTTTTAATCATATACATATTTGTCCAACTGATGCTGAAACTTGGAATTTGTTTTTTCCAGTCACAGTAGTGAATCTCTTTGTGAATTATCGTTGAACAAGACCCAAAGTGAGGACAAAAACCAATTACTAGCAGATGAATTATCGCTTCTGGACTTTGTAACCCAAGATATTCCTGGTGAATATGAAGAGAGACTGATCAAAGAAGTGCAGAAAGAACTGGAAGATGAAGTGGCTGATTCAGGGAAATTAGCTATGGCTAGTGACTTTTTTGGAGAGGAAATATAAGTCTAGCAAGTTAACTGATCATACGTGCACTACTATTGGTGTTTCAAGAGTTATCATACACACACGGTATACCTGGACTTCCTCTTTGCTGCATAGAAATGCAGTTAACTCCACTGCATAGATTCATGAAAATAGATTACTCTTCTAAAGCTCAAGCTAAATATAATGGGTAGAGATCCCTACATTTTAAGTACTGTTTTGAGCTGGTTAAGAATTAGGGTTCAATTTAAGACTGGTGGTTTGAGTTATGTATTTCTGGTATATATAGCTCCTTTTAAAAAAATCCAGCTATTTTTTGCTTCTTAAAGTTCAACAATACTGAAGGATGCTATGTACTTTGTGACTAGAACCTACAGGAGATTGGTGTCTAGTATATGCAGAGCATATCAGGAGAGTCTGTTTGAATTAGTTATATTGACTACACCTGGTGGAAGTGATAGTGTATGAGCTGCAGATCTTGGTTTGGAATGAACATTTCCTGAACATATGCCTGAAATAGGCTTTCGATGAACAGGTACTGCAATAAAGTTGAAACTCTCCTGTTGGCAATAGATGTGTAAAACATGAGTTCATGCTGTCTGTATATATGTGTTGTATATACACACACATACACAAATATAAAAAGTGTTCGAGAGTTTTAGGATGTATAACTTTTCCACAGTATTCTCAAATTTAAGTACAGCCCCATGAAGGGGGAAAATGCAATTACAGTAGTTTCTTTTTTGGGGTGCGTGTGTCTGAATACTGGAAGGTTAGAGCTCTTGATTTTCTTTTAAATAACCATCTTACTATACCATATAAATCTGTTTTTAACTCTTACATTTTTAGCAGCATTGTCTAATCCTTAAGAATATATTGGAGTTCTGGTCAAAATTTTGTTGGAGTGACAGTTTCAAACATTGTAGGAATGAATGTGCATACTGGCCTTCTCTACCACATCTGTCTCTATTCCCCAACCTTTGGTTGTTATCTCAAAGGCCTCACTATGAACTGTTCATGTTTTCCCTGAATATATATATACACATGAATTGGAAAAGAAATTAATCACAAACTGTTCAAATCTTGTGCAGCACTGACATCTGTGCAGAATAAATCTTCACATACTCAAAATACCTGTGACATCCTTCCACAATTGGCTGCAAGTATTCATGACAATTTAAGATCCACCAGCAAAGAAACATTTGGAAGTCAATTCAAAAGGCTTTTCTTCCATAAGAATTTCTTGCAAAACAATCCTGTATTTTGACTATTACAATAAATTTCAAAGTGTGATTAAAGTAACAATAGAATGAACAAATGTTTTATTTGCATGTTCATGGTTGTAAACAGCATCTGGCATGGAAAGTTTACCAAAACCTTTGACTGATATAAATTAGATAGCATTTTCAAAAAGAAAAAGAAACCCCTCT